AGTCATACTAGAAAAGGGTTGGAAGAGTATTGACTGAGCCAGTGGGCGAACCTACCATATAGAGCTGACATTTTATTTTGAGAAGAAGGTAGGATGGTCCCTCTCCCCTGGCATTTTAGATCTTGCAGCTTTTCTGAATGTTCATGTTTTCCCTTTTGTTAACCATGGAGTCACTTCTTTTGAGTCCAGTTTCTAGAACCTTCTTGCCTGCCTTTCTTTTGACTGGATTTGGGAGATTTGAGCATGTCAATTCTCTCAGATTTGGCCTGTGAGTATCTCTATCTGTTTCAGGATATACAGCCTGAAAACTCTCGAATCTGTGTTTCTGGGACTATCAGACTAAAATAGTTAATTGTTTATGTATTCTTAACAAGTATATACGTAGCACAAAAACCTACACAGCACTAATCATTCTATGGGAATCTCCATCCATCCTCCCTTTAGGGCTCCAGAGAAGCAAAGAAATGAATGTCAGATTAACTCTATTGAGTCAAAGTAGTTGAACATTCTAGCTGAGGATTCTGGAGATGGATGGTGGTTGCAGTTGTTTAACTGTGCAAATGTACTTCATGCCACTGAGCTGTGCACTTACTATTTACTGTCTTAACTCTTTTTATGTTATAGGTGTTTACCACAAATATGGCCCTTGAAGCCGAGTACTGAGGCCTTAAAATCAGGCTTTGTCACATACTGGCTCTTGGACCTGGGGCATACGATACGTAGCATCTCTGAAGATGGTTGACTTACCTTGCTATGGGCAGAATCGTACAACATAGTAAACATACTGTAGTACTTTCTAACCAATCAGGGGAATAAGGCAGGCTGGTGGCTGGTGGAGCTTGTGGGACAGAGCAGGCAGACTGTGTGGAGGCCTGGATTGGTCATGTGGGAGGGTGATGGGAGATCTACCCATCTCCTGAATGGTGAGCACGCAGTCAGCAGTCTGAGTCTGTAGGCATGTGACTTGCACTCTTCTAGTGTTTCTTTCTCTTAGTCTGGAAAAGTTTTTTTACTCTCTAAAGGGAATCTTAGACATCATGCTAGTTCAGCTCTTCATTTTACACTCAGAAGGCTCAGAACCAGGCAGCCAAACGACTTACCCAGGTTCATGCAGGAGCAGAAATGTGATGAGAACTTAGGCTGATTTCACTCACCCACCATTTTTAAGGCTTGCCAAATGTTGGGCATGCCTGATACAAAGTTGGTTAAGTCAGGGCTCTTACTTTGAAGAACTTGTCATTTTTTTCTCCCTAGAGAGAAAATACATGAATTAACTACATTAAAAAGCACTCCGATCAGTTATGCTATAATAAAGGTGCTGGAATTGAGATGGGAATGACAGAAAGGGTACAATGAGGTCCGCCTGGAAGAGGGAAGAAGGCTTTACGCTGGAGCCACCGTCTTTGTGGTTATGGTGGCATTAAGGAGGCCCCTCTCGGTTGGAGGCAATTTGGTCAGTTAGGGTGCATATATGTGCATGCTTGTCTGTCTGGGCCGGGCAGGGAAGTTCAGGTAGAGTCAGCACATGTAGGAACATCTTGGAAAAGGACTTCCTCTTTGGTAACAAATAGGTCTGTGTTTGAAATCCAGCTCTCCCTCTACCTGTTATGAGCAAATAATTTATTTTGACCTCCAATGAATATATCTGTAACATAGTTAAAAAAAAAAAAAAAAAGTTGAAGGGTTTTTTGTCAGGTTATTAGAAAACACATACCCAGAATGTTAGTGATTTATATGAGAAGGAAAGTCTTACTTACACAAATCTATGTGGTTGAATTACATCACTGTGACCTCTTGTTTTACAGTGGATTTTCAGTGTCTTGATTGTGGAGTGTCGGTGTTGATGTGAGTTCCCCAAGGGGGAGGAGATCTTGTAGGTTTTCTCACAGGGCCTAGGATAGAACTCTGCTCTCTAGATGGGAAAAGAGGCAATTAAGATTACCAGGCCCAGGCCCTTTCTTTTGTGAAGAATAGGAAAAACTGTTTCACCAGGAAGTTGGAGTCCCTATTTAAGAGATGCCTCGAACTGTCTTATGCTTTAGGTTTCTCAGTTTTGCCTGGTTGCAGATTGAAAGCATCAGAATGAGTAACTGTGCGTGTTAACTTACTAAGTTTAAAACCTCTTGAATCTAGGTGCTCAGAGTTTCCGGTAGCGAGCAGGATGTTGGTTGTTCTATTTGCCAATATTAGCTTTAGTGTGTCCCTGCCTGGGAATTGTATGGGGTGGGTTGTGCTGTTAAGGGTCCTCTGGGGTGATGAACATTCAGATAGAAGGAGGCATAATATGTGATGTAGATCTTTGCTACTCAAAATGTGGTCCCTGGGCCAGCAGATCTCTTCACCTGGGAGCTTGTTAGAAGGAGAGAATCCCAGGCCCCATCCCAGAGATGAGACTCTGGGCCAGAATCTGCATCTTAGCAAGATCTGTAGATGATTTGTGTACACACTGAAGTCTGAGAAGCACGGATCTAGAAGATGGGATGTAGATTACTGTTCCTTGGAGTTCAGTCTCCCCTTCCTCTGTGGTTCTGTCTGGCTCAAATTGATCCCTAGTTTGTGTCTGGCTCACCGAGAGACCTGAAGAAAGGTGTTTTAATTGGCTAAGAATTGCAAGGTCAAGAAAGGAAATGGGAGAAGGAACAGAACATGAAAAAATTGTTCTTAATATGAGGCTTAAACATTTGCATTGAAATGTGTGATGGAACTCGGCATCTGTAAAGTTTTTGTTTACAAAAGCAGGCAAGTCAACATTTTTCTTACCCAATCGTTAACCACTAGTTATTGGCTGTCTTGTTCCATTCATTGGCTCAGCTTTTCTGTCCGATTATTTTCTTTAGGTAAATATTTTAAATGGAGAAGGATAGACACGAGAGAAATGTTTTCATTTCCTTTAAATGGATATGTTCTAAAAAGGAATTAATGATGAAAGACTGCAATTTTTGTGGATGAGATTTTACCAGCACGGGGTTTTTAGTAGCCCTGGGCCTTCTGGTGGAACATAAAGGTCTTTCTGGTTTGTTACATTTTATGAGATCTCATTTTTCCCCTAAAAAATTAAAGTTGGAGAAGTTTTGAAGCATTGGTAAACCCGGGGTCCTGAATTTTAAATGTTATTCTTAGTGTTTAAGAACACTATTTATAGTAAAAAAGGTAGAATATTGGAATATTTTTTGAGGAGGGAATTTAAAATATTCAACCTTGGCTTTTAGTGTCTTTTTACCTGTATCCTTGTTACAAAAATGGCAGTTTGCCAGAATAGAATCATCACGTGACCTTTGGGCTTGTTTGCCTTTATTGATTTATTTGAAGAGTCTGAAATTTTTGAGATGGGGAAAGGAGCTTTGGATCAGGGATTGAAGCCAGGTTAAAGGTTTGAGTTCTCTGCTCTGGTGGTGCCTGGCTATGTGGCATGGGCACATCCTGGGCCCCATCATCATCTCTGAATGGAAGGACCTGGACCAGACCCATGATTTTTATGGGGTTGGGGCTCTATGAGCAGGTTGTCTATGGATCAGGATCTTGAATGTGAAGAACATGCATTATTTGATAATGTACAATGCCATATTCATTTGGAAAATGGAAAAAATTTTTAAACAAGTGTCACATTGTAAAGCATGATACAGTCTTGCTGGTTTTGCCATAGGATGAGAAGTACATGGGACTAGCAGTTGGTGGCAAGTAACAATTTTTGAGTGAAGCATGCCAGGTACTGTTTTAAACTTTTGGTATACATATGTTCTCATTTAAACCCCCCTTCCCCCCGCAGAAGATCAGTACTGTTATCATATGAGCAGATAGAACAGAAAGTATACACTATCTCACTCAGGGTCATCACAAACAGTATATGGGTAGATCTGGGATCTAAACCAAAACAAGCTTGTACTCTTGGCTGCTAGGTTCGTTACTTCTTTATTCACAGTCTGATATGATCAAGATAAATTTTATCTGTGCTTAACCTTCTGGAAAAACCGTTTTTATGATCTTTCTAACTGGTATGAAATTACTCCTCAGTCCTCAGGTGTGTAAAAAAAAAAAAAAAAAAAAAAAAAAACCTATATTTTCCTCTAAATCTGATTAAAGTTCCATTTGCAGAGACTGGTGAGTTATTCTATATCCGTAGTCACTCTGGATCCCTTCCTCACTCACACAGTTGGGCTAGAAAATCCTGAGGATCCCAGATACCCACTTCATCATGGTGATGCCGAGATGCTCATTGGCCAAGCCTGCATTCCCCATTGTAGAGTGGCCTATCACTGTTTCTTCTCTCCATATTCTAATCAGCTGCCATGGTCTCCCCAGAGCTCCTGTGGCCAAACCGAGGTTTTTGGATGCTAGTCCCCAGCTATTCACATGTACAGTCTTGCCAGAAGTTTTCACTTTCCCCTGCCAGGGAGCTGCATAGACACCGTGCCTGGTGCATGTCTAGACATGGGGTGCTAATGGACACCTACACACAGGGTGTTAATGAACACACAGATTCCTGAAGAGAAGTGAAGTATATCTTTCATCCTTATCCTATGGGGAATTGGTTAATTTCATCCTCCTGCCTAAATTGACAGTAAGATTTAACACAATTGACCTTAAGCAATTTTATTAGTGGCCAGTTTGCATTTCTCTTGTTCGCGTGGCTAACCTGAGATCACGTCAGTTTACTGCTTGCACTATCTATGTGACACTGGGTACGTGGATTGAATTCTTTAAGCCTCTGTTTCATCTTTTATGAAATGGGAATGATAATGGTCTCTGTTCCACAGAAGGTGCTGGGGGATCAGCTCTGACAAGACCCTGATTTGGAGAAGGGCAGTGAGATCAGCCAGGCTGGAGGGAAGGGTGCAAGCTGGTGGGTTGTGGGGGCACCGGGACTGGGAGCGCATATGTGTCATCTGATGGAGTTTGGACACTCGTTGGCCTTCTTTCTGGTTGTTCTATTAACTGGAGTTTGTGTTCTGCCTCAGATGTACTAAAATCCCTCTGATAATCTTCTTTTTCGGCCATTTTAGGACCCAACTGACTTTGAGTGGAGCTTCTGGATGGAATGGGGAAAACCGCGCCTGGTGCGCTTTCTGCTGGGCCATATGGCTGTGTCTCAGATGGTCAACGTGCTTGCAAGGAAGGTAGGATTATGTGCAGGGTCTCCTTTTATTCCTCTTCTTTGCTTTTTAAGAGGAAAGAGTACTGAACTGGGCATCAGGAGATGTGGATATTGACCTTGGAAATCTGGAAAAGATGAGGAAGAATTGCTAATGATCAATAAGACATTTATGGTAAAGATCTCATATATTCTTATCCTGCATTTACTTAAAACCATTGAATATGAAGGTTAGAATAAAACTAACTTCAGATGGTGCTCCTTAACATCATACTTAAATGATCATATTAAAAAGATGCCTGTTGTTGAGGACAATGTACAAGTTCAAGAGAAAGTAGAGTGAATGATATCACTAAATGAGAATAATTAAAAATATTTTTAATGTTGATTATCGAGACAGAAACAGAACATGAGTGGGGGAGGGGCAGAGAGTGAAGGAGACAGAGAATCTGAAGCAGGCTCCAGGCTCTGAGCTGTCGGCACAGAGCCTGACGTGGGGCTCAAACCCACAAACCGTGAGGTCATGACCTGAGCCGAAGACAGACGCCACCCAGTCTGTTAGCTGCTTGAGCCACCCAGGTGCCTCTTTAATTTCAATGTCAAATAATTTATGCCATTGTAACACAATTTCAAAATACCTTTTTTATCTATGTTACCCTCTTTTAATCCCAGTGCAATTAACTTTGGAAATCAATAACACAAGATGACCTGAAAACTCTAATTCATTTAGAAATTAAAGAAAACATACTGTTAAATAACTTGTAGGTTAAAAAGAGATCATACTGTAAGTTAGGAAATAGTTAGAAAAGAATGAAAAATGTTACCTGTATAAAACTTGTAGGGTATGGCTAGCATGGTATTTAATTGGAAACCGTCATCCTACATACTCCTATTAGAGAAGAAGAAAGGCTGAAAAATAATGAGCAAAGTATATACAACTTACGAAGTTAAGAAAGAACAGGGGCACCTGGGTGGCTTAGTCGGTTAAGCGTCCGACTTTCGCTTAGGTCATGATCTCGCGGTTCGTGGGTTCGAGCCCCACGTCGGGCTCTGTGCTGACTGCCAGCTCGGAGCCTGGAGCCTGTTTCGGAGTCTGTATCTCCCTCTCTCTGACCCTCCCCTGCTCACGCTGTCTCTCTCTCTCTCCTAGAAACAAATTAAAAAAAAATTTTTTTTTAAAAAGTTAAGAAAGAACAGAAAAAAGGAAGGAAACAAAAATAAAAGCAGAAATTAATGAAATAATCAATGGCAAGATCAGGGAAGATGGACAGTAACCAATTAAGTATGGAAATAGTAAGGATATTTTGCACAACTTGACAACAAAAATCTTAAACTTTGGCAAAGCAGACAAATTGCTAGAAATAGAACTTACCAACACTGACTTATGAAGACATAGAAGACCAAATAGTTACTAAAACCATGAAAAGAAGTTGAGTTACTAGTCAAATCTATTTGTAACGAAAACAGTAGAAATAAACCAATTCTGCTAAATATACAAGACACAAATGACTTAAATCTTAACCAAGCTTCTTCAGAAAAGAGAAAAAGAGGGAGTGTACATTTAATGAAGATAGTATAAAATTGGTAACAAAATCAGAGGATCTGCCTTAAAGATATCATGGGTTACAAAGATCTAATAATTAGGACATTATTGTATTGGCTCCAGGATACAGAAATAGACCAATGGAATGTAATACAGTTTAGAAAATACCTATGCATAGATGGAAACTTGATTTATGACAGAATTGGCATTTCAGATCTGTGTGGAAAAGATGAACCATTCAGTAGGTAGTGCTGACGCAATTGTTTAGTTGTATTAAAGAAAATGAACATTTAACTCATTTACCACACACAATCCTTTTCAAGGTAGTTAAGGACTTAAAAAGCATATAACTTTATTTATTTAAATAGTTTATTGTCAAGTTGGTTTCCGTATAACACCCATTGCTCATCCCCATAAGTGCCCTCCTCCATGCCCATCACCCCCCTTCCCCTACCCCCATCCCATCTGCCCTCAGTTTGTTTTCAGCATTCAAGAGTCTCTCATGGTTTGCCTCCCTCCCTCTCCCGCATTATTTTTCCCCTTGTTCTTCCCCATAGTGCTCTGTTAAGTTCCTTCTAATCCTCCCATACATGCAAACATATGGTATCTGTCCTCTGCCTGAAGTATTTTGTTCAGCATCACACCCTCAAGGTCCATCCATGTTGCTACACATGGCCAGATTTCATTCTTTCTCATTGTCATGCAGTATTCCATTGTATAGATAAACCACATCTTCTTGATCCATTCATCAGTTGATGGACACTTAGGCTCTTTCCGTGTTTTAGCCATGGTTGAGAGTGCTGCTATGAACATTGGGGTTATATACTGCCCTTCTTCATCCCTTGTTACTGTCTTTAAAGTCCAGCTTGTCTGATATAAGTACAGCTACTCCAGCTTTCTTTTGACTTCCAGCAGCATGACAGATATTTCTCCATCCCCTTTCAATCCGAAGGTGACCTCCAGTCTAAAGGAATGAAACTCTCAAGAAAATGAGTTTCTTGTAGACAACAAATAGATGGATTTTTTTTTTTAATCCATTCTGCTACCCTGTGTCTTTTGATTGGAGTATTCAGCCCATTTACATTCAGTGTTATTATTGAAATATATGGGTTTAGAGTCATTGTGTCATTTGTGGGTGGTGGTGTCTCTGGTATCTTGCGTTCCTTGCAACATTTCCCTCAGAGAGTCCCCCTCAGGATTTCTTATAGGGCTGGTTAATGGTAACATATTCTTTCAATTTTTATTTGGAAGGACTTTTATCTCTCCTTCTATTCTGAATGACAGGCTTGCTGGATAGAGGATTCTTGGCTGCATATTTTTTTTTCTGTTCATCACATTGAAGATTTCCTGCCATTCCTTTCTGGCCTGCCAAGTTGCGGTAGATAGGTCTGTCACCACTCTGATAGGTTTCCCTTTGTATGTTAGGGCCCTTTTCTCCCTAGCTGCTTTCAGAATTCTCTCTTTGTCCTTATATTTTGCCAGTTTCACTATGATATGTTATGCAGAAGATCGATTCAAGTTACGTCTGAGGGGAGTTCTCTGTGCCTCTTGGATTTCAACATTTACTTCCCTCCCCAGGTTGGGGAACAAGTCCTAGAACTTGTTCCAGGACTCCTTCAGCACCTTTCCCTCTCTCTTCCTGGTCTGGGATTCCTATGATACAGATACTGTTCCATTTGATTGTATTGCTGAGCTTTCAAACTCTTCTTTCATGTTACTGGATCAGTTTATCTCTTTTTCTCAGTTTCCTCTTTTTTATAATGGTGTCTTCTAAATCGCTTATTCTCCTTTCTGCCTCTTCAATCTGTGCATTGGATGCCTCCATTTTATTATGTATCTCATTTATAACATTTTTTAATTCATCATAACTATTTTTGAGCCCCATAGTGTTTGTAGCAATAGTTTCTCTGATGTTCCATGCTTTTTTTCAAGTCCAGCGATTAATTTTATGATTATTCTAAATTCTTGTTCAGTTATGTTGCTTATATTTGTTTTGAGCAGTTCTTTAGCTGTCATTTCTTCCTGGAATTTCTTGGGAGGAGAGTTCTTCTGTTTTGTCATTTTGATTAGCTTTCTATCTCTTAATTTTAAAAGCTTGTTGTACACTCTGCCCCTGTGAGTTCTGCTGTATTAGAGAGGGCTTTTTGACTGTTCAGGGCGTGTCCATTCAGGAAGTGTTCTTTGAATGGTGTCTGTTGATTTCTCTTGTTGAGTGGTTATTTTGTTTCCCTACTCATAGTGGTATTTGGGACTTTCCACTTTGTGTACTTTGGCTTGTTTCTTGAGGCAGCCCTGGAAAAAGAAAACAGACAACCACAGAGGGAACAAAGGGACACAAACTGCACAGACAAAACCAGTAAACATGCAAGCCCAGGCTCAAGTAAAAACAACAACAGCAACAACAACAACAAAATAGCTCTCTGGAGAGGATGGGCGTGGTTTGGTGTAGGCAAGTCTCACCTCCACTGTGTCTGCTGGCCGCTTCCTGATGCCCCGCCTTGGTGGTTGTGGGGAGAAGAATGGTGTCGCCCCAGTCCCTTTTCAACCAAGCGTTGCATATCACTCCTTTGGGTCTGATCTCCCTGTGCTGAAGACTTAGCCAAGGTTGGCCGAGTTCCAAGCCCCACACCCCACCTCATTTCTGGGTCCCAGTCCGTGGGCTTTGTTTATACCGCCCTAAACAGTTCCACAGGTTGCTGCTTCCCTACTGCCAGGGGTTGAGTGGGGGGTGGGGGAAGTGTCGCAGCTTCAGATCTGCCGGGGTCAAGCAGTGATACAGCCTGGGATCTGAGGCCTCCCCGTACCCCGTGTGCATGCGGAGGAACGTAGCAGTTTCAGGTCCGCAGAGTCCGCCTGCGCTGAGCCGCTGCCGCTGCTGTAGGGGATGGTGCCAGGAGCGCTGCAGAGCAGTTTTTTTCTGGTGCATTATGGGACCTGGGGCACCTAGCTCAAAGTCAGCACCCTAGCCAGAACTAAAAAACACTTTTTTTTCCCCCAAGCCAAGGCTTTTCTGTTCTCTAGGGACGGTTCTATGACCAATCTCAGCTTCTCTTTACTTTCCCTTCCACTCGCTGCGGCTCATCACCAAAAAGCATATATCTTTCAGAAAGTGTGATCTAGACTATCTGTTGATGTTAGGGTTGAGAAAGATTTCTTAAGACCCAAAAACTACAAAGTTGTAAAGGGAAACAATTGATAAACTACGTTAAAATGAGAACTTCTCAATGTATAATCATCAGTGTATAATTAGTGTACATCATTGGATGAGCCAAAGACACAATGAGGAAAGGGAAAAGGCAAGTCACTAATAGGTTGTCTGCATCCTGACAGAGGATTAGTATTTGGAATACGTAAAGAAATTTCCTAAGAAAAAGACCAATCTCCCAATAGAAAAATGGCACTAATGTAAAAAGGAATTTGCAGAAGAGGAAATACAAATCACCAGGAAACTTAGAACACCTTTTCAACTTTATTAGTAATCA